GGGTGGCGTATTGTGTCCTTAATAATCTGTATGTTCTGCATTACAGCGGGAACTATTACCTGGACACCAGTAAATACAACACAAATAGTCTTTCAAGTCCAAGCCTCAGATGGCAAAGCAGTAGCGGCGTACAAACCAGTGGTTCAGATATGTGATTGTAAGAATAATGGAACGTGCCTATTTGACACTAGTGTCGGAGAAAGCGATGAAGTGAATTCAAAGTTTAAGGTATAATTAAATATTATCTCCTTGATTTTAGAATACACACATACTCGTATAATACTACAAAGTTTAATATCTTGTAGGCTGAAATGATATAGGTTAAGTTATTACAAATACAATTTTCTTTGTTTTAGCTGTTCATGGATTTTTTCACTCCAATGCACTGTAGGTCGAAGAGGATTATAGTAAAATAAATACCATACATATATACTTTTTTTTTTCAAATTATCTTTTCAGGTTGTAGCGTGCAGTTGTTCTGAAGCATACAGTGGTTCCTTCTGTGAAACTGATTACGATGGTTGCTTGGATGACCCATGTTTTCCTGGTGTTAAATGTACTGATGTTGAGGCTCCAGGTTTCGGTGCTGTATGTGAGGAATGTCCTTATGGACTTTATGGTGATGGTAAAAAATGCTATGGTATGTACAAGCAAATAATCAATGAATCCCGAGAGTTGCATGCATTACATTCAGTTTAATTCATAACCTCGCTATACCTCTTTTTTAAGACATTGACGAATGTTTTGAAGAAAGGGATCTGAATGACACAAGGCAGTTCTGTCAGCAAGAGTGTATAAATACAGTTGGAAGTTACAATTGTGGCTGCTATTCAGGATATGTATCATATAATCGTACTCACTGTAAAGGTAAGATATCTACTTACATGTTTATATCTGTAGAATTCACGTGATTTTAATGTAATATTTTTGTGCCAGACGACAGTTCAAGACAAGACATTTAATGTAACTGTTGTTTCGCTTGACTTTTTAAATTTGCAAGTGTAAGTGCTGACATACGAGGGACGTTCAATAAGTAATGCCCCTGACCCATTTTCCATAGCAGGAGAGTGATGAAACTTAGCACAGTTATTAGTCTTTCTCTACATAGGAACCACCCGGAGTTATGCATTTTTCCCATCGTTTGCTGCAGCTCTGAACACCGTTTTTGTAGAACATCCCAGGTTGGTCCTCCAACCACGTTGTAATGTCATCTGGGAAACGCTCTTTCTTTTCAAAAACAACTTCATGGCTGGGAAGAGATGAAATTCAGAGGGTGCAAGGTCAGGAGAGTAAGGGGGATGGGGAGGATTTCATAGTCACACGCCCGTGCTTCTGATCTGGCGACATTCGAGTTGTGGTCCGGAGCAGTGTCCTGCAGGTAGAGGATACCTTTGCTGATCTTGCCCCGCCTCTTGATTTTGATAGCTTCTCTTCATTTCATCAAAAGTGAAGCGTAATAGACTCCTGGAATTGTGGTACTCTTTGCCAGGAAATCTGTCATCACTACTCCGACATGGTCCCAGAAGACTGTGAGCATGACCTTGTCAGCGGAGGGTTGCACCCTTGCTTTCTTTGGAGGTGGTGAGTCCAAGTGCTTCCACTGCATTGACTGGGCTTTGGTCTCTGGAGTTTCATCCTGTGTAATCAGTCTTTTGAAAAACTCCAAATTCATCCTCAGGCACTCGACGCGTTCTTGCTTCTGGAAAGGTGTTAGCCAACTGGGAATCCATCTGGCGGACACCTTATGCATTTGCAAGGTGTTAGCCAACTGGGAATCCATCTGGCGGACACCTTATGCATTTGCAAATGGTCATGAATGATAGTTTCCATAGACTAATCTTGACCTCTTGGGCTATATGGCGAACAGTAATACGTCGATCTTCCGAAATGGCTGCCTCAACTTGACGGACAGATGCCTCACCATTGGCAGAAGAGGAATGACCAGGTCTGGGAGCTGTTTTCATAGACTTCCGGCCATGTTTGAATTCACGATGCCAGCGTTTTACATGGTCATATGATGGGGCATAGTCACCATAAGTTTCTTCCATTTCATCAAAAGTCTACTTTGGTGTGTGACCTTACAAAAAAAAATGGACCACTGGGCAACACTCAACTGGCTCCATTTCACACCTGACTCAGACTCATAAATCAGAAACCACAATAAGTTCAGAGCAGTTTTATTGCAACATAACCCATATAGTCGTAAATCATGCAAAATTTAAGATCAGACAACTGTAAGTGGGTCAGAGGCATTACTTATTGAACGCCCCTCGTATATAGCGCATTTTGCCACTGAGAAGGTATTCCAGTTTTAGACCATGTAACAGCTTTCTATAATAATGACATTATGGCAG